TAAATGGCAAATAAACCATTAAAACAACAGCTTAAAATATATATCACATAATTCATAGACTCATAGAATCAGAGCTGGAAGTGACCACAATTAAATATTTAAATCTAAAAGCAATCAGTAAATGCAGTACTCCCTTTCTCCATTTGTTTTATGCTTGCTGTAATGTTCGATTGCACAGTTGTACATTCTAAAATGTTCATCAGTAAAAGGAAAGTAAAACTCTATAGCATCTGGAAGAATTAAATTCAAATTTTGTTGTGCAGGTGATGCATTTCTCATCAGGATTGTACATCTTCTGGACCCCTGCATTGAGATCAGGGGTGATGGCCCTTTTTTCAGCCTGAGAACTGGATTAGTTTTGGGCAAGCACATTGGGACTGATTGCCTTGCACTCCTACCTCTTTTCACACATTTTTCCTCTTCTTTCATCTTTTAAAGATAATGTCTTGGTGCCAGTGATGTTTCTTGTTAAACCAGTGTGAGGCAAGGGAGGAGTAAGTTTATCAAGGAGACTTCATAGCATTGGTGAAAAGTGAATTATCTCTTAGGGCCTCAAAACCATAAAGGCACCAGATCCCATCGGCTCCTGGCAGCGCAACAGGGCTTGGCTAGTATTTGGATGTGGTGTAGGCTATATTTCTTAGGAAAGAACTGGCAAAATCATATCTTCCTTGTCTAAAAAAACTATGGAATAGATGAAGTTATCTTACGTTGACAGATGAGTGGAAAGAACGCAAGCACAAGTTAGTCCTTTCTTCCTCAGCCATGACCCACCTCTGCCTCCCCTCAATTATATTTAAGCTTGAAAAGATCTCAGAAGCCTTTAAAAGACTCCTTATGCTGTGAAAGCTGGAGGGGAGGGAAAAACATTGTTTCTGGAAATGCCACTATCCCTAAAAATTCATGTGATTGAGCACCATAGCACTTGTTGTTGTGCTCTACCTTAGTTGCTGTAGTCGTTGAGCTCTACCTTCAAAACTAATTGATAACAGAAAAAAGTATCTTTTTAGTATACCTCCAAACATCACTCCCCACTTTTTAAATCAGTGGACAGCAGGCTGTTGCAGAATAAATGAATATGCCATTCAAGCCAGCAGGGAAGAGCCTATGATAGTGTACAGTAACACGGTGTACAAAGTGATCATTGGTATCGGAGTAGAGTTTTTATAGTCATGTTCTTGCTTTTATCTGTGCAGTGCCAGAGATATATTTCACAAGACAGTTAATTAGATTGTAAGCAAACCATGCTAGTCAGGTTTCAAATTGCAGAAAGTTTCCTTTAGGGAGACAGTAGTAAATGAAAAATATATTTTCCCTTGAGGGAGAACTACTTGGTATGAGACATGTTTATATCTTTATTCAGATATAATATGATCCCCTTGGGGTGTCTTGTGTGTGCGCGTGAATCTCCACCCAAATACAATAGTATTGACAAAATGGAAGATTAATGTAGGAAACATACTAACTACAAAGTCCAGGGTTTTCTTAAATTATTTTTACATTCATACCTTCTGCCTTTCTTGCTGTTGTGAGACCCAAGGTACCTAACAGCGCATTTGAAAACAACACAGATTAAAACACTTTCCCAGACAGTACAAACATTGCTGTATTCAACTCATGTTAGAGATCAAAGTTGATATTGATATTCCAGGAAAAACCTGGTTTTGTGTATCAGAAACAAATGAAAACAAAGGAGAAAGTACTGCAGACTTCTTATGCTGCTCTCCTAGTTCCTTTTGCTACTGTGGAAACAAAAGAAATAATTTGCTTCATGGTTCCCTCATCTTGTCCTGTTTTCTAGGTTTACTGCTGTTTATTAGTTTATGATGTGGAGGTGAATTATGCAAAGTTTAAAGGACATGCAAAGTTTGCATGTCCTGACATCAGGAAATATAACATTTGACTTGAGTGCCATTTGAGTGCTGCATTTCCTGGCTATGTATGCTTCAGGGATTTTTTTTTTTAAAAAAACGATTGCATAGAACTGTGTGCGCATTCTCTTAAGTAGTTGAAAACCAGTCTTCCTGTTTGCACATTTTGATTTGCCAACATTCATATTTCCACCTCTGAAGCACTCTGGTAGAGCTAAAGTGCTACTTTAAAATGAAATACTGTTTCTTCCTTCCTTAGTATCTTGATGGTAGTCTGTCTGCATTGCTTGCTTGTTTCAATACTAATAATTCTGAGAAGGTGAAATGCTGCTCTTGTTGAGTGAACACTCATCAACTCTAAGTGATGTATTCTCAACATTTGATTAAGAGATTTGGCAACATTAAGAGTGCCACAGTTCTAAGAAACCAAAGACATGGGATCTTAAAATGCACAGATTAGTCCAGGTAGGGGCAAACCCAGGCCCGGGAGCCAAATGCAGCCCCTTGGGCTCTTTTATCAGGGGACCTCTTATTTCACATCATCCCATCCCTACCTTCTTTCTCTCTTTTCTTCTGCCTCACCTCCCTCCCTTCCTTATCTCTCTCTTTCTCCCTCTCTTCTTCCTTCCCTCCCATCCTTTTGTCCATCCTTCTTTCCTTCTTTCCTCTATCCTTCCCTCTCTCTCTTCCTCCTTCCTTCCTTCCTTTTTGTCTTTCTTTCCTTCTCTCTTTGCTCCCTTCCTCCATTCAAATCCACCCCTCCTTCATTCTCTCCTCCCTCCCCTCCCTCCCTCCCTCCCTCCCTCCCTTCCTTCTCTTTCCTTCGTCCCTTCTCTTTCCTTCCTCCTTGCCTCCTTCCTTTCCTTTCCTCCCTCTTTCTCCCTCCCTCCTTCCCTTCCACCCTTTCACCTTTCATTCCTTCCCTCTTTCCTCCGTCCTTCCTTCTCTCTTTCTCCTTCCTTCCCATTTTACTTTCCTTCCTTCTCCATCCCTCTATTCCTTCCACCCTTCCTTCCTTCCATCCATCTTCCTCACTCTCTCCCTTCTCTTTTTCTTTCCTCCTGGGGGATGTTTAGTTGGGAGAAGAGAAGGTAGAGAGGGAACATGGGAACCATGTTTCAAGATTTTAAAGAGTGTCCCACTGAGAAGGACAGAGGGGGGAAACCTGAGTTTTTGCTGCTCTAGAGATCAGAGCATAAGGGAGAAATGGTTTCACATGGCAGGGAAAGAGATTTGACTGAAAAGATCAGGAAGAACTTCCTGAGAGTAAGCGCTGTTGGAGAGTAACATAGTCTGCCTTGGAGTGTGGTGCAGTCTCCTTCTCTGGAGGCTTTTCAGCAGAGGCTATCAGGAATGCTTTGATTGTACCTTCCTGCATAGCAAGGGATTGGACTGGATGGTTCTTGGGGGGGGGGGGATCTCTTCCAGCTCTAGGATTCTAGGATTCTATATCAGGAGTAGGCAATACAGGGCCTAATGGATACACTTTTTCTCTCCCGTTCACCATCTCATCCTGACCAGGATCAACCCCTTTGGGATCCAAACATTTTCTGTCTTTCCTTCACTTTCTGCCTCCAAAGGAGAAGAAGAAAGGGAGAAAAAGACAGGAAGATGGCTTGGGGAGAATCCCCTTCCTTCCTTCCTTCCTTCCTGCCCACCCCATTTCTGCCCGCCTTGTGGCCTCTGAGTTAGAAAGTTTGCCCATGCCTGGATTAGTTGAATTTTAGAATACAGAGATATCACATATTTCGGCTCTTTCAGTCTTGCAGGTTAGATACAGAAAAAATATCTTCCCTTAAAATACTTTTTACTATACCAACTTGTTGTGTAAGCTATATGGTAGATCTAGCAAACCGCTAGTTCATAAGCGACCTCCATTCCAGGCAAGTAGAAAGCTGCCATTTGGCTTAGGGGTTTTCTTTCGTTATTTTATTTTTTTTGTGCCAGACTTTCTTACATGTCCCTGTTCGAAGAACTGATATACCTTCCTTGGCAAAGTGCGTAAGTACTTTAATCAGAAAGACCCTGATTAAAATCTCATGCTAACCATGAACTCACTGGGTGGCCTTAAGCAATTCTCTTATCTTTCTCCCCATCCCTGTATTGCAAGACCATTAGGAGCAGTAGCCATTACCAGACCTATCTTCAGTAAATTTGTCTAACACTTGTCATCTCAGTTAGTGGCTGTCATTACATCTTTTGGCTAATGAACTAAGTCTTTAATAGCATACCACCCATATCTTTTTATTTGGACTTCAGTTTGCAAGGGATATTGGGAAAATGCTTGTTTTGTGAGTTAACTTTGTTATTGTTATAGTAATAGCGATGTTGAGTTTCATAGTCGATGGTGGGTAAATCCCAATCCTCCAATTCTTGTCAGACTCTCCGGGTCCTTTCACACAGCCATATAACCCAGAATATCAAGGCAGAAAATCCCACAATGTCTGCTTTCAACTGGGTTATCTGAGTACACAGTGCCATATATCCCAGTTCAAAGCAGAAAATGTGGGATTTAATCAGCTATGTGGAATCAGCTCCAGCATTCCTCACCATTTTCTATTCTGACTAGGCTTATGGGAATTACAAACCAGCTGCATCTAGATTTTTCCCAACCCCACTTTTTTTGTAGTAACTTAAAAATTTAAATATGTACTAGGCTTTCTGTGCTTCCCACTAACACATGAAAGGTGGTTGCTTCTTCTAGGCAGCTTTTAGACATCTGTTTGTATGAATGCGTATGTGTTGCATTTTTATTTTTTAATTACTTTGGTTTTAAGAAATGTGGTGAGCTATCTAGTCATATTATTTTTTGTGCATCACTCTCCATACTCAACTAAGAATGAAAGATGTGAGGGAGTTATAAAGTGCTGCTCTGATGAATTATGAGAGGTGCTCTTTACTGAATACTTCTTGGTTGTTCAATACTTTTACTGAAGTACCAACAGAGAATGCAGATTATATGGGTGCTGTATTATTTTGTCTCCGTTTTATTTGATGTAGATTTACAACTCTACCTTATTTTACTGCACAACAAAGGTTGAGGTCTGGGTGATCTAAATTTTTAAAGAGTCTCTTCTCTCCCTCCGTGAAGTTAAAAACTCTTCTCTTTCTTTCTCTCCACTCCTTCAGGCTCCAGACAAGAGGAAAGCATTAGAAGAAACCAAAGCTTATACAACTCAATCTTTAGCCAGTGTTGCTTATCAGATCAATGCATTGGCCAACAATGTGCTCCAACTACTGGATATCCAAGCATCCCAGCTCCGGAGAATGGAGTCATCAATCAATCACATTTCCCAGGTAATCTTTCCATAGAGAATTATTATTAGGGATATACTTTTCCCTAGAAAATCTAGAAGATATAGAAGACCTTTCAGCTCGCTCATGTACAATAACAAAACACATCTTGGTACTGCCAAAGTAACACAGGCTGAATGTTGTCTCCCTCATTCATGCTCACATTTCCTTCTTTTGATCGCAAGTACTCCAAACCAGAATCCAAAACAGTTTGGTCATTATTTGAATTCTTATTTAGAAAGCAATTGAAAAGCACTTGCTCATCTGGATGGAATGGCAAACTTTGATGTCTTTTGATGTACTGTTTACAACCATGGTCTCACCCATGTAAGGTGAAATCATGGTTTTGTACAGTAGTCACATAAATCCATGGGAGAAGATATCAATATTGAAAGAAGGAACATCTTCAGTAAAACTGAGATCTCTCAAAGACTATGCCCTGGATTTGTGTTTCTTTCTGCATGCTGTTATGTTGAACTGTAAGCTGTCAATATTTTAGGATAAATGAATCAGACTTTCCCATTTTCTTGGATTAATAGGATGGGCTCTAGCACTTTATTACTAATGTAAATTGCACTTTGAACTACTGTCTTTTATTTGGCAGGCTGTTTGGTGGTTTGGATTGGCAGAAGATGTTTAATTCTAGGAAAATATTGGCATAGCTTATTGAGATGTTTATAACACAGAACTTCCAAATTTTCTTGAAAGTGACCTAAGGAAAGTGTCTCTAAAAGTTAAAGAAAGCTGAGGTTCACACAATGATTTGGAGTGGTTGGCTACAGCTTTGCTGAATGAGAAATATAATAATGTCAGCTCTGTTCTTTTGCTTTTTCTATTGGATGGTTATTTGAGAATGTAACCCAGCGTATCTTAATTTTTTTTACCTCCTGATATCGGTGATGGTGGTTGTAGAGAACCATTGTTGCATAGTAGTTTGAGGATTGGACTACCAGCAAACGGTTTGGGCGCAGACTATTTGAAAAACTGCGTCTCCACATAGATACCACCTCAAACACTACGGTCTGTGGAGGAGACCCTGCTCTCAGTCTCACTCCATCTCAAGCATGGTTACTGGGAACGAGAGAGGGGACCTTCTCCGTGATCGCTGGAAACCGCCCAGAGTCCCTTCGGGAAGATAGGGCGGGTTATAAATAAAGTATTACTACAAGTCACACTCTTTCAGAAAGCAAAGACAAACTGCCTATGAACAAATCTTGCCAAGAACCCCTGTATTAAGTTTGCGATAGTGTCACCATTAACTAGAAATTATTTGAAACCACATTATTTAAGTACAGCAGCTTTACCCATCTAATAAATGGACCACCTTTGCAACATTAGTTCATTCTAATGTAGTGTGCTGAAGCTTGGAGAAACCAGTTATGTCCTATTAGTACCGTAAGTGTTACTAACTTTAAATTAGAGATGATAAGATGGTCATGCAGGGCAGTTCTTCCCTTCTTTCTTGCAATTTCACCTGCCTCTAGATGCTATAAACTGCAATATGGTCATTGCAGTTTCAAAATATATCCTGCTTGATGAACGTTGAGGTTTCAAACAGGTTGAGAAAGATGTAATGATCAGTCTATATCAGGGAGGGTCAGAGTGTGGCTTGCAGGCTGCATGTGGTCCCTCCAGCCCAGCCTTGGTCTGTATTCCTTCAAATTTGCAAACAGCAGTTCTTTACCATATTCACATTATTTTAATCTTTGCTTTAAGAAGGACATTGTCTCAAAAGCTATTTTAAAACAATATATAGGGCATCAATATAATTTTGAAATGCTGAAATATTTTTTACAATGCCAAGTAAACTTGAAATGAGGATTAAACGTTTCATTGCAAATTTGCAATAGCTAAGCATGGCCATAATTATCAAAATTAAACGTCCCCAGTCTAAAGGAGGTTCCCACTTCCTTACCTGTGATTCTTAAAAGGATACAAGTCTTAGTACAAATATACCCATCTGCACATCTCGTGTAGTGGTGTTCATGGGGGGGGGGGCACCCTGCTCCTATGTGTTACTAATCATATACAGTGCGTCCAGCACATCTTTTAAAAAGACAGTAGGATGTTGTTAGGTTTATACATGTAAACTGATAGTTTGTATTTTTAAAAGTTCCTTATTAATAGTAATTATTAATACTAATTATGCCATAGTCTGAAATCTCTACTAGTACAAAAGCACAAACCCTTCTGTTTAACTTTTGGCTTCAGCTGAAGTCCCCTAATGTAGAGAAAGCGGTTGATTCATCTGATACATGAACTGTTTGCTAAAAGACTATGAACAATTCATGCTTTGTAAAGCTTTTCAATAGTCTTTAGCAACACCATTTGTAATTTTTTGTTGTTGTTAGGTCTCTTTGAAATTAATCCCCTTTTCTATAAGCCTCTTCAAATATCTTTATAAATTGGCTTGAGTAATTTGTGCGTAGTTGGGGCAGTTTGCCTTTTTCCACCCAAAGGTTGAGAGGTCAAAATCTTTCATACCATTAACCTAAAAAGCTAAACTTGACACCAGGCCTTTGTTTTCTATTTTAGAGTCATTTTAATGAGTAAATACCTATAAATGGTGCCTATATGTAGAGGGAAAATAGGTTATATAAATAAATATTTGATTATCTCTTTGCCATCAGTTTCTATAATGATGCTTCAGTGGAAAACGGTACAGTGGGCTCTTGGTATCCACTGGGGTTTTATTTCAGGAGACCAAAATCCTCATTATATAAAATGGCAAAATCAAGGTTTGCTTTTTGGGGCTTTTTGGGGGGGCGGGTTGGGGCGTTCAATATGTGGAGGGTGGAATTTGTGGAAGCAGCCTTTGTGACTAAAGTAATCTCACCATATATACATTCTGGGACATCCTGTGATGTACATATTTTCCCCATTTGTCCTGGGCGCCTTCGGAACATGGTAGTTTTCTGAGAACACTGAATGCTGTTGGGAGTGATCCTCTAAATATGAAGATTCTTGGAACTAAATGTTAGAGGCTGGGGAAATTGTGTATCTGGGAGACCAATGTATTTTCAAACTATGCTTCTTGCAACAAGGCCAATTTGATCATTAAGAAGAGTGTAACAGCTGGAGGGGATGTTCAGAAGCAAAGTGTTAGAGGACAGGACTTTCTTTGATGCCATGTGGTTTCACTCCTGCCTTCCAATCCAGTAGAAGGCATTCTCATTGCTAGTGGTGAAATGCCATTTAACTGCCAGTTCAATATGGCTATGTATACAGAAATGGGAGGCGCCTACTCTGCTCCTTTGCTGGTCAGCAAAATGTCTTGGGATAACCCTATGTGGTGACTGCAGGAACTTTCAAGAAGTCTTAGAGATAAAAACTCAATGGAAAGATCAGGAACTAGTTCTCTGACAGATAAGTTCCCCAAATTTTATCAGAGATTTCCTGGGGAAATGACACATGGAACCCCAGAAGATCCCCACTTGAATACTCTTCTATGGTTACAGAACATTTTAATGTGCTTCCTCTAAAGCAGTGGTTCTCAGCCTGTGGGTCCCCAGGTGTTTTGGCCTACAACCCCCAGAAATCCCAGCCAGTTTACTAGCTGTTGGGATTTCTGGGAGTTGAAGGCCAAAACATCTGGGTACCCACAGGCTGAGAACCTATGCTCTAAAGTGTGTCCCCATTGTGTCCTTTTCTTCTCACCCCAAGACATGCTTCAGGATCCTTCCAGACAGGCCCTATATCCTAGGATCTGATTCCAGGTTTTCTTTTTATCCAGATCATCTGGCAGTGCAGACTCATATAATCCAGTTTAAAGCAGAAAACCTGTGATCAGATCCTTGGATATAGGGCCTGTCTAGAAGGGCCCTCAGTTTCCACTTCTTTCCAGTTTCTCAACTGAAGGCAGCAGAGAACTCAATGGAAAGCTGACAGGTGGAACAGTGGTGCATTTTATGTTTTTAGGAGATGCTGTCTGCAGAGGTCTTCTTGGGAAGTAATGGGGGAGATCCAGAGATGATTCATCCATGTGGGGCTGAATGACTCCCAAGAGGCCTGTCCCAATTTGACATGGGCCAAATAGTGAACACTTTATCCAGAATCTTCTAATGTCTAGGGGGCAGATCTCTTTGGAAAAGGTTTCCCACAGGAATGTTAACTGCGGCTTTAAAGTTTTTTTATTCACTTTATACATGGGATATGTAATATTCTGAAGACTGTCTGTTTTTACAAAGACATTGGAAGTATCAGTGTCACATTTAATTACACATCCTCTACATGTAGAGCCAAGCAATTACTTTCAATCTTACAGCCTTCGGTGTTTACAATTTACATCATATATATGATGGCAGCTTGCATAAAAATGATATAAGAATGAGAACTATAGACTATCATGAAGGCTTTCAGCAGATGCCTTAGAAATAATCCTTTTAAATATCCTATTTAATGCTGGCTACAGAAAGCTACTATTAAGTAGGAAGATATCTTGACAGTTCACGGTTAAGGCTGAACATTTGCATGGCTTCAAGAAGTTTGTAACTTGTGCTATTTTTGGAGAATGTATATCTAACAAGAACCAGAAATATATCTTCTGCACTCTGCATCATTTTGATAGTGTTGGATCATTTGAAAACAACTTCCTTACAGCTATAAAATGAGCACATTATTTCATGTACCAATGATTTTTAAGAGAAAGAAACTGTTCTTTTATCGGTAGGTATAGATTTCCTGAATGTATATTGTGTAGTTCTCTAGTTTATTTTAAGACACGATTCCATCTCTCCACTTTCACTCCAGGCTTGGAGTATTGATAATTTTGAAAAAAAAGTCCTAAAAAGCAGCAATTACTGCTGAGATTGTTCAAATGAAGCTATAATGACTAAATGCACAATTGATACATCTTCAGAAAGTTGCATACTTAACAGAAAAAAACTGGTACCAAAGCATTGCTTTTCTCCCCCAAGATATTCATATAGCTCTATTTTATGTCAGTTTTGGGGGATATAATTTCTCATAAATCCAAAAGCTGCTTTTGAACCAGGAGTTCCTTT